CAAACTAGGGACGTTCTCAATATCAGGTCTAAAGCATCTGCTGCATATTCGCTTGGTCATTTTGTTCTCGATTAATTATTTCTGTGCCGACTAACATAGTGGGGAGTGAGCATATCCTGCTCATGATGTTAGTTATGGTGTATACTCCCTTCTGTGGAATCCTTGACAACTTGAACTCAACAACAACGCGATAGCGAACGAATGAGAGCGAGCTACTATCAGTAGTTGCACGTCTCTTCTGGAGTAATCTGCTTAACTTAACTATCGGAAAATTTGAGTTGGATGTGACACCACAACGTAATAAAGTACGACGGGGGGGACCGTTGTCGGCATACCCTTGTCGTTATGAGCTTCTCGGCACTTGGCAATATCATCATGGAGCCCTCATGTGTACAGAGGATAGATGCTCAGTGCTTGGTGTCAACATACGTAAAGAAAAAATCGAAAATAAGAACGAAACTATGCGTCTAACTCACTCCGCTACCGTATAGGATACCACGGTAGATCAATCCTCGATGACCTAGAGCATATGGTACAGGCACATTCTTCCTGAATAACTCCCGATTTCAACCTCCTGACAATTAGCGCCTGTCGGGCAGTGCTGAAAAGAGGAAAACTTGTCAACCTCCATCAGAGGCTCCCAAACTCCTTACAGCTTCAATACTGCACAACAAGAAGCAACGCTCCAGAGGCGCGCAAGACTCTTTGTAGATGTCGAAATACGTCGGGCAGCCGGCGGTAGTTATGTGACAGTCCTTCGCACATATAGCCCACTCAATTTTACCCTGGCCGTTCTGAAGACAAACGTTAGATAAGAATAGCGCACATCGTTCGCTCAGAGCGAACATGCTGAATGTAAAGCCTTAGGCGAGGAGCTAATGAACATATGAAATTTCTGAGGAAATTTCGGGAAATTCCGGTACATTTTTACCCTACAGTAAGGTCCCTACTTTGTATATAAACTCCTAATAGGAGTAATTATAGTATAATTAGTGAGGAAACTCCTAGGGTCAGCTCAGGGAGCTGACATATATTACAACACTGCTAATGACACTTACGTAAGCAACGATCTTATCGTTAGCGCCACAGTCACAGTCGTTATTCTCGCAGTTGTTGATGGGCCTCCCGTAACAAGCACCATCTGAGTTCGCAAGTCGTAGTCATTCCGAAGAAGTTTCCTTCTTACCTGGGTAGGTTGGACGTGGATGGTTGTGGCCCGACTGAACGTTGCTGAAGAGAAGACGTCACCAAAGCTCTCAGCACACGTCCCCACTCACCTAATGAGGCCCGCGATACACAAGATGCTGAAGATGCCCATGATCTTTGTCCAGTGCTGGGTGGAAAGTGATACCTTCGTACGCATTCATCTTTTTCATCCGCGTGCTTTTGTGCGGGTGGAGGATGAGCTGTACACTATGATGAATATACCCAGGCTAGCATTGTAGCCGAGGTATGAACTGCACATCAACTCTGTCGAAGAAACTCGCTAATGAGTAGCCTCTCGCGCTTTCTAGGACCCGGATACGCCGCTGGCACCTTCTTAGTTCTTGTGCGCCTGCATTCGTTTTCACGTGTGACCGCACAATTGCTGCTGGTTGCCAGTGTCGTAGCGGCCGCCCTATATATGGTTCTTGTGGGAGGCTTCCATAAGAACTCTACTACACCGGACATTATTACGCCTACGTTTCCCTAGATATTCGAAACCCACGGATGAAGGGGACAATACAGATACTCAGTGTGTATTGCTTGTCCGTATATTACACATCTCAAATTGTCATCAGGCGGAAAATTCTTCGATGTAGATATCCACAATGTTCTATAAGCTTTTTTTATTTGCTACTGTTATTTTTTATGTCATCTGTGGAATCCAAAGTAACAAGCCGGTATCAGTTGGGAGGACATTTTCCAATATCGGCTTAGTTCGCTTTGTTGACATTAATATTCCAATAGTGAGTGTCTTATACACTTGCGGTAAATCTCTCTTACATTGTGATGAATATTCTTTCCGGTCAGCAATTGGTTTCTCAATAAGAAGTTCAACCAAAGAAAGAGTAACCAAGCGATGTTGACGAGATGGCCGTTGGCGAACTCTGCGATTCATGGCGGTGTCCAAGTCCAACGGGTTTGTAAGTACTGCCACACGACACGACCAGCCTGAGAGTAGTTGTGGAGCTCCATCACCACTCTCGTTGTTAGTTCCCGTACGCAGGTGAATACGATCAAGTGGAATCTTGATCATTCTTTGTGTCAGTGGCTCTCTTTAGAGCTACTGCGCATTTATCCAAGAAATGCTTGCCTATTCAATAGGCCGGAACGTTCGTATATCTGCTGGCGTGAGTATTGATGAACCACCTCGTAAGAAGTAAGTGGAATCCAATCTTATAAAACCTCTTATATCATCAACGACTACCGCAGCTTGTGCTATGTCTTAGCTAAGATATGAATGGAAGTGAAATAACACAAAATGAGGATACGAACCTAGAAGATCTTAGCTGAGATCACCACCCTTCCTAAAGCGCCTGTCCGTGTTTACGGCGGCGCTGTGCCTACCGTGACAGGTCTTACCGTATCCTCTAAGCTCGAGTTCTCCAGCTCGGAAAAGTGAGCACTTGAACGTGCTCCAGCACTTCGCTGAGTTTCTGTCCCATTGCGGATCCTAAATCTTCCGCCGATGATTGTTCACTTCCGCGCCCTCAATTTTCAAGACTGTGCATTCCTATTCACCCTCCAGCATTTAGGAGCCCTCGACAACACAAAAAACGAAGGTATGAACACCGAACGAAGAAAACTACATCGAACTAGCCGTTCGTTAACCGCACTCACACCTAAGTATAAAACAGATTATCACGGCACACTGAAAATGGGAAGAGTTTGCCAGCAGATGAATAAGCTTACAAGGTGACCACGACGACCAATATACCAACCAATACATATTGGCAAATCCTATTACTACTAAAACCGAACGCACCATTAGGCAATTCCGTAGTAGTACTAGAAGGAGCTGCCGTAGTCGGCGAGGAGGAACTCTGCGAGGTGCTGCTGATCGTAGTAGTAGTACTAGTAGGCGGTTGCGGAGTAGTAGTGGTAAAATTGTCAAACGTATTGTCAAGTACCCAGGCCAAGCGGACTGCACCTTTTGCGAGCTGTTCCTTGACAGTTTCAATTCTACTGGTGTAATATCCCATCAAAAGACCATCATCATTGCCAATCTGCGAGCCGTCAACATTCACATACGCTTGATTACAAGCTAGTGTAGCCGATTCTTGCACCATCTCATTCACGCATACATCAATACCAAGACTCTCACATTTACTCTTCCAGGAAGGAACCTTCCCAGCGTACTTCCCACCGGAGGCCAACCCTCGTCCGATTTCATCAGCTGAGACACTCCAATACTGCGTGCGGTCCTTATTATAATCAGCATCTTGCTGAATATATGGACCTGGGTAAAGTTCTCCTTCATATTCATCGATCAATTTTTCACCCCAAACTTTATGAAGATTTGTTTTCTCATAATCCGCGAAATTGATCGCAACACTGATCGTATTGCCTCCCAAATCAGTGTACCTTCCAGCGTTGAGCGGCTCGTGGACATCCCCCATAAAATGCACAAGAAATTTCACAGCATCTTGCCGTTGTTCCTTCGTTAAACTAGTATTAGTCAACTGTGCCGTATAATTTTTAATAGCGCCCGCAACACATACGTTGTTCGGGCAATCTCTCGCATATACAAATTCACAATCATCAACATTGGCATAATGCAGCGGTTTAGACCAGGACCATTCACCACTGTTATTTCCATACAAAATGCTGTCAGCCCAACTCGCCGAAGTTGCCAATCGATATCCTTCTCCCATAATATCATAAACCCATTTCCTTGCTTTACTCGACATACGCGTATCGGCGAGCTCGGCAACTACAGCGTGGCCGTCCGGACCCCAGCAGGATGCTTCTCGCACGAAGAAAAGTGTAATAACAAAGACAAGTGTTGGCATCATAATAAACGAGTTGCAAAATTGTTAACTACAAACAATATGTGATTGGTGACAACAGGAAAATTCTGAGGAAATTATTGTTGTTTTTTCGCACACTTCTACCCAATTTGTTTTAGGAAACTCCCAAGCTCAGCTGAGTCAAGCGAATATATATTCCTCCAACATTGATTACAAATATGATGAACGTCACGTCCGAAAAAAATCGCAAAATACTTTTTCCCGGAAAAAA